AATAAAACCGACAATTCACTAAAAATCGCATCTGCGATAAACAACAGTCCTACTACATCAAATAATCATGTCAGTATTTCAGATTATAATGTGAGTGCATCCTGTAGTCAGAGTACAAGTAGCAACAAAACCAATACTACTGACCATTCTCTTGTATTTAACAACTGTACAGTGACAATAAACAGTTAAGGTACTCAACTCAATATAGCCTAGTACCCAATATGTCCTATTGGTTTTTTCTCGTATGTTTCAAACAAAATGTGGTAGATCGCCACTGGGATACATTCTGGAACGTTTTTATACCATTTAGGAGCAATCACTAAAGTAATACACCGTTTCGTTTACTTACAATGGAATTATTTGTGATGGTGATTTGACGAATCAGTATGCGTTCTATTTTATGCCGCTAAGTTTTCTCTGGATAGTTTTAATCTTAGCAATTTCATATTTTTATAATTGTGTAGCTCCATTTTTCCGCTTTTAAATGATCTGCATTAGTTGTATTTCGTAACAGCTTTTCAGTTGGGGTTACTGATAATATGTTCGTTTGTGATGTGGAATCAATATGGCCTAGGTGGCCTGTTGGTCTGTTGGGTACATACTACAGTTCTCGTTTGATTTTTTTTTTTTTTTTGTGAATAAGCTGTTTTAAATTACTATGAACAAAAAGCAAGCTCGCAGACGAAGCAAGAAAATAGTTTTTGCGAGATGTACCAAGAAAATATTGTAAAAGATATGGGAATATGCTCCGCATGTAAGAAATACGTGCACGAGGAGTGCGTGGATCTCACTAAAAATGATAAAGATATTTTAATTTCTCCTTATTGTGAAATTAACAATTTGTTTGTCAATAAACTTTTTTCCGTGCTTATTTTTGTTATTTTTTTCGATTTTTTAAAAACAGGCCATATTGGGTATCTATGTACTCAATTTGCCCTAAAGACACACTTTAATTAAACCGGGTACTGTCGGGCTCTACAATTTTTAAAATGTCTGAAATTTGAAAATTATGTACAAAAATGTAACCTCTTTCCACTCCCACCATTACTCTTCCATTTCAAGTTCTTACAAAAATTAAAAAAATTCTCAAAGCTTAGGTAGGCTTATAGGGCACAGTGACCTTACTACAAATAATTACAATATCTAATGAAACTTAAATGTCAATGTTCATGAATAAAATGATTTTTCTTCGCTTGTGCTCGTAGAAAAAGTATAGTACATAACTCGAGTTGTAAAGCCCTTACGCACTCATGGAAATACGCACTCGCCGCTTCGCGGCTCGTGCGCAACTTTTACCATTCGTGCGTAATATGCTTCTTACAACTCTTATTACGTAATATACTATTTTTGGCTTCCCGATCTTTAAAGGGCTTATTCATGAGCGTCTGATGTACCCAGTAACTAGGATTTTACAGTCATTCATTGATTTACCACATCGCGGTGCGGTAAAATAACTTGAAATTTTTTAGGCTTAAGAGGCTTTTAAAAAATAAATTGTTCTACAAATAATAAAGGTTACCTGCAGAAACACAATTTACGCAAGTTTTTGTTCAACAGAATATTTAAGAAATGAAGAAAATTTTTGTTAGAAAAGCGAAATGTCAACAAAATATTTTGACGTTCTTCGTTCGTTGCAAATGTTTGAACGCAACGCTTACTGCAAAATTGTTTAAAGCGTACTCGATACCGAGTTACAATTTCGCAGGGTTTGAAATTGAAAGATTAGTATAAGTATAAAAATAGGTCGGACAAAAAATTTAATATTTTATTTGTGCGTTAGGGCATTTTACAGGGCTCGGTTTTATTAAAGCACTCCGCTGCGCGTCGTGCTTCAAAATTAAAATCTCGCCTGTAAAATGCTACCTACCGCACTCATATTGTAAATAAGTAAATAACTATTCTAAAATTTGTAAATTTCGTCTTTTGTTAATGATTTCCGGAAAAATTTAATACAAAACACGTCAGTAAAATCTCTTACTTGACTCGGAGCTTTAAAATACTCCGCACAAAGTGCCTCATATTTCAATTTAGCTCCTCTTCAGTAATGTGAGATTTTTCTGACTTTTATGTAAGTAACTATTGATTAAAAGTTTATCATGCTTATCATAACTTTAAAACATGTGCAAGATATAAAAGCAATCGGCTTTGCAGATTCAAAATTAAATTGCAAAACGTTGTTTAATAATTTTGATTTTTTTTTTCCAAAAATCTGGACGTTTCGGGTAAAAACTTAACCCGCGCCATAAACTACATGTGTAGAACTATGTTACTTTATACAATTTAAAACCCATTTACTATGTACAAATTTCAAATGACGGCAACATATTATTGGTGGGGATGATTAGACTAATTTTGGTTAGCGTTTTAGCATCTACATGATATTCTTAATATAAATACAAAATTTGACAACAATGGACCCAGTACTTTCGGAGATTATCAGTCTAATAAAACTTCGTGAAGGCAGACAGACGGAAACGCCAGAACCATTTCTTCGTGCTGGGTCATGAAAATTCGGGAAAATGTAAAAGTGGAGACTCGGTCGGCGGACTCGATTGCAATACTTATTTCGCTTACGCTCGGGAAGTAAAAACATTCAAAAAAAGGTTATTGACGTTTTTCACTAAGAAGTTGTATTTGTGATCAAATTTTCTCAAGCGTTAACTTTGAAGATAGACATTAATGCGAATATAAACAAGTGATTTTGTTTATTGTTTTAGTTTTTTAAGTTTTCATAATTATTAGGTATTTTAATTAGCTAATTGTTTGTAAGTAACTACATATTTCCATAAAACAGTGATTTCAACTCTTGTTTTTTCCGGATTTAGGCGCGAAACGCACTATTTAAGCCCGCAAATTATTGTATAAATGACATCATTTGGATACGATTTTACATTGTTTTTTTCAAACGTCAGAAAAAGACTTTGTATACCATTATATACGTAGTAAAAGACGCATTTCAATGCCATGTCTATAAATAATATATTATTAGCCAAGGTTGCAAAGCCAAGCACTCTAGACCGAGCGCAAACTAGAACCCGAGACGAGCAGCGTCGAGGGCTCTAAAGCGCGAGGTCTAGAAGTGGCTTTGCAACCGTGGTTAATATACTATTTTTTTCGCTTGTAGAAACCATAAGACAATAAATTGAAAAAATAAACATTCAATTTTTTGACGGAACATGATTTTGTTTTGATTTCTAATCAAACTTAATCTAAATCTTCAACACAAAGAAAACCGGTTACACTTGACGCTGAATTAATCATTTTATCTTCCACTGTCTACCAACCACCAGGCGTATACTCAAGTAATGTTAGTAGCACACATTTATTCATTTTTTAATAAATAATCACATCAAGTATTTCGTACATAACCTCAATCTTCTTTTTGAACCCTGGTCGCAAAAGTTGAGCTTTGCTACCTCTAAATAAGTCAACATTTGGATGCTTCATGGCTGCTAGTGAAAAAAATACTTTTTTCTGCCGCCTTTGTTTCTGCTATCAATTGAGATTATCACGCGTACCTGGTAAATGCTGACAGTTATGTTAATTACACACGTAAAGAAATGTCGTCGAATCGTTTATTAAGGTAAATATAGCGTCAATTACAGCTTTTAATCCATTTATTACTACTATTAAAAAGTGAGGTTATGTTTTCAAATTATTTTCCAAGCTCAGCAACGCGTTGAATTGAAATTACAACGGTATTCTTTGGATTACCTAAATCCAAAATAATTATTTTCCGATAGAAGTGGGGGTATGTTCTAAGATAAATCCTTATTTCTTTATATTTTGATTTTGATTTTGTAAAGGTAAAAGCAAATACGCCGTATGGTAGAATTGATTGCAAACAGTGTTCATGGTGTGTAGTTCCTGATTGTTGGATTTTGTGGTGGTATGATGTAGTGATATCAGGAATAATGAAGTTATGTAAAAAGAAATGCGTTACATTTTAAGTTGATTGAGACGCTTGAAGAAAAAATGTGTATAAATAGTATACTGTTTTACTCGGAGAAAAATGACTTTTCGTGGCTCATCTGTAATTGCCGGCCTCGCCCGCTCGACGGTCAAACCTACAGGTTCGCCACGAAATCTCTCATTCTTGCTCCTAATAAAACAATATACTATTTTATGCATTCCCCAAAAACTCATGACGTCATCTTAATATTCTGCCGAACTGTAAGATGAAATGATAAAATCTTTATATTTTATAAAAAAACATACTTCTGCATGTGTGATTAAGGAATCCATCTAGAGTATTACTCTTGGCATCCAGATTTTTGGAATAAAATAAGAATTTGATAAAAACGTTTTGCAATATTATTTTCAAATTGCAAAATCGAATTGTGTGAAATTTCCCAAATATTTAAGATTATTGGAAAGATGGTAAATCGTTAATGACAATTTGTCCTCTCGCTTCGAATTTGCACCCCCGCCGCGCAGGAGCTCCGGGGGTATTATTTACGCCACTGGTTTTCATATTATAGAGGTTATGGCAATTTTTTTTTCATTGGATTAAGCAGGATTTGACGGACTATCTTCAAGCGCTAGGGAAATTTTGTCGAAATAACCTTTGACTAATTTTTTGTGGATTTATCACGTCTGCGTGCTCCTTCATGGCAGCAACCACCATTTTCTCTTTTTTTTTTAAATGGCTGCTATTTTCATGACATTTCCTCGCTGCCTGTACCTTGATTTTGCTAAAAGGCATCATTGATTTGATTTTTTTATTAGTGATTTTACCTTTCACACAGAGTAAGCAGTTTAGGTTATCAATAAAAAGGGGTTTTAATGTGTGTTCTGCAACAAAAAAAGCCAAAAAATAACAACTACCTAGAAAAACGTTGTGTCAGGAAATAAATTTGTGGGACTCTATCACCAAAAATTACAATAAATCACGTCGTTTTCGTTTTTACAGAAATATATTAAACTATTTCAGCTTGCACTTGTATTCAAAAATCGTTAGCGTCGTATTCTCGATAGACGGAAAAAAAATCTTTTATTACCTTTGCTAGACAAATAAGCCCTTCAGAACAAAAATCACAGTTGTTTTTTCTTAAATCCTACACCGAAACTTAGAAAATTCATTGAGAGATCGTTTATAAACCAACACTACACTACACAAATACGACCCGTTTCGTCAGAAATAATTCACACTTTACCGACACGTGCTTTAGCAGCGCATAGAAGGTAGCATCACCAACAGCGTCGCGAATAAGACTGCTGTTGCCATTCCCGTAAGGCAGTCGGAAAAGCACTGGGTGTCGTTAAGTGATGCGTAGAGCTATAGGGTGAAGCTGCACCGTTATCCCTACTATGCTTGGTTGTCCTATTCTAGCCGTCGTAGTACGCGTCTTATCTCTTTTCCAGGTGGGGCGTTACCACTGCCACTGATCAATAATCAGTATCCAGTATGAAAGGAGAAAATCTTTTATAAAGTCTATTAAGTTATCCACAGAAAACCTTTTTCGGCATGTATTAAAACACAACATCCTCAACTCATCAATATTTTGGTGGTGATATAGTTATTTACATAATTACTTATGAAAAGTGGGATATGGTTTGACGAGTCCTAACAGTTTGCCAAAAAAAACTGAAGGAAGTTTTGCAAGTTAGGCGAGTCGACCAATATCCTTTTCATAACGTATTATGTATACAAAGTTTTATCCGATTTCGTTGAATTTGACCATTTAAATGCGTTTTTAATTTTGTTATGACAAACCTTTATAAATATGGTAAATGGGTAAGTAGACAGTCGTCTTAAAAACAAGCGAATCGTTGTTTTGAATCAACAGTCAAAAGTGGCAATTGGCTTCGTAAAATGAGCGATTCTGACTTTGAATTGCCTTCGGACGTCGAAGAAAGTGCTATCTAGCATTAAATTCGTTAATACCAGCTAAGTCAAAAAGCAGGTTTCACGGAGCATACAAAAATTTTGAAGATTGGTACCAACAAAAGAAGATAACCACAATTAATGAAAAGGTAATGTTGGCCTATTTTGAAAGCATCAAAAGAGTCAGGCCAACTTGTATAAGGAGAAAATTTTAATGTTTAAATAATAATTTTTAATTTTATTGTAACGACGTGTAGTAGTTTTGTATTATCGGATGGTTAAAATTTTATTCCATGTACAGATATTTTTTTTTACGGACGAATAATTGTTGAAAAAGGCAAGGGACGTCCTGCCGAAACGTCCAATGAAATAATCATAATAAGAAGAAGAGAAAAATGAAGTTTTAATTCTGTTATAAAAAAAAATTCAAGCGTCGGCCAGCAGCCAATAAATAAAAACATAAATCATGTAAAAATCGCAAAGCCACTTCTAGACCTCGCGCTTCAGAGCCCTCGACGCTGCGCGTGTCGGGTTCTAATTTGCGCTCTGTCTAGAATGCTTAGCTCTGCAACCTTGGCTAATAATATACTATTTTACGTTCGTTAAAAAAAGTGTTAACATTTTTTATTTTCAAACGTCATATAACTGACACTTATATGACGGTCTTACCGGGGTTTAAGTGTCATTTCTATGACACCGTGTTTGAGCGGCGCAGCATAAGTACTACTTATATTCCGCCGGCGTATAAATAAAACATTTATACTCCGCCGGAGTATAAATATGTGAAAATCATAGTGGTTGTCAACCATAGTAACCATGGTAAGTGAAATCAAGGCAATTCCTTAATGAAGCAAGAAGATGGGAAATAATCATTTCAAAAGAAGATTAATCGTTTGAAAATAAAATATTGTATTTCATTCGGAGTTTAAGTGACTTTATGTGACTCGTATGGACTTAATTCGCCTCGCTATTGCTCGGCGTTTAATCGTCCATACTTCGTCACATAAAGTATCACTTAAACTCCTAATAGAATAAATATCTATTATTAATTTTTGTTTCTAAAGGATACGTTTATTTCATCGCACTAGAAGCGTAAAAAAAAGTGTCATAACGTCTCATTTTTTCACGCATTTGAGTAAAAAAAAGTGTCGTAGCGTGTCATTTTTCAACCGAAGTAAAATATAGAAACCCGTCGTTGCTATGGTAATTCATAAACACAAGTGGTTTGTATTAATTTTCTCGGTGTGTTGTGATAATTTGTGTGCTCGGATAATGGAATCGGACAACGATGAAGATTTCTTGAGCAGCCCCGAAAAAATTGTCAAGACAGCAAATACTGCTACGTTTAATATCTATGTTCCAAAATAAAAAGTTTTTGAAGTTGGTGGGTGTTGTGTTTTGTTACGAACGCGAAAAAAATTTTGTATGCGAGTCGTGATTAAAGTGACTTGTTTTTACGCCTTCGGCTCGTGCGGCAAATTTTCCTTCTCGTGGAAAAAGATACACTTTACTCACTAGTTGCATAAATAACTTATTATTTTATCCTAAATTGTTATAGTTACAATAACACGTTAGCAACGAATTGCGTTAAGGCTCATTTAACAACACTAGTAACTTAAAAAAAATCTTTACGACACTTTTTTTTTGTTTGCCACAGGTACAATTATAACAAAAGAAAATCAAAAAAGTAACATCATACAACAACAACTAAATTACCTAATATAAATCGGACAATAAGAAATAAGTATTTATACTAAACATTCGTCTTCGACCGGTTTTCGCTTTTGGAATTGAGAAAATCATTGATGATCCTGGATCAACAACATCACAAACACTAATGTTGTAAAGCTCCTCTCGCCTGCAGCCTCCAAAAATTCCAAAAATTACAGCTACTTTTCCAGCCAAATAGTCTTCAAGGGCATCTTTCAAAAATGTTTTAATCTCTTCTCGTGTGAATATGGTACCGCGTCAATTCGTCGTGCACAATTCGTCGCGGGACAATTGATCGCAAACAACTGATCGCAGCGTGAATTGGTCGCAGCGACAACTGGTCGCAGTCACAATTGATCGCAACACAATTCGTCGCAAGTACAACTGGTCGCATGCGACAATTGATCGCAGGCGAACAATGATAGCGTTTATAGAGAAATAAGTAATTGTTATGAATGAGGAAAATAAACTAATGTGCTATATTCTCAAAAATTTCATTATTTCTAAAAAAAGTGTCAAAATAAATACATACAAGTTCCATAAAAACGGTAACTAAGTATTAGGCTCATTTCCGACTAAACCAAAGTGCAAAAAAGTGAAAATATTGTAAAATATTTTTTTTAATGCTGACACATCTCGTCGGTATGCTACTGTAATGTTCATTTGGATTATTCGTCTTATTGATTAGACGCTCAAGTAAGTGATTCAAGCTTTTCTTCTCACAAGTTTAAAGTTTGTCAATTAAACAAGTGAAAAAAATAGCTTTCAAAACGTGTTAGACGTCATTTTTCTTTAATAAAAAATGGTTTTAAAATTATTACAACTGTCAAATTAAAAAGTTATAGATAAATCGTGAAAAAACTCTCGTTACAGTTTTAAGTGAAAAAGTATTATTTTCATTACGTTTGATAGTTTAAAAAATTAAATATATATATTTTTTAATAAATTTGGTGCAAAGAAATTTGAATTTATATATTAACAATTAAAACCATTGATGTTCGATACGTTCCATCCGAAGATCAGAAGGCCGACATCCTTACTAAGGTGCTGGGAACGAATCAATTTAGTAAACATTGTACTAAAATAGGTGTTAGGCCGCTGTAAATGTAATCACATTTCGTTTTGTTTGTCTTAATTTTGAGGTTAACTGTTAACGATAAAATGACATGTAATAGTTATTTACGTGACAAGCTTAGTAAATTAGCCTTTACGGGCGAGCCGGAATGTTTGCAGGGCGAGCGACGTAGGAGCGAGTCCTGTAATCCGGTGAGCCCCAGTAAGGGCTAGTTGCAAGCGAGCCGCGTACAACGTTTTACTTCCTCTTGCTGAAAATCCTGAAAATGAACAACTTTGGCATCGTCTCTAGAAATTTTACTTGAAATTACAGTCATAGAAATTGTAGTTATTTTTCATAGTTTGCTCCGGTAACTATGGAAAATTGAATTGTTTGAAAATAACGGGACTTTCAATTTGTAAATTCGATTAATAATTTAAATAGTTTAATTTTGTTTCTGAGCTCTGTTAATTGTGGAATTCGATGAAGATGAAGAGTTTGAAGGTGATTTTAACGTTAGTATTAGCACAGTATTAGTGAGATTAAGAAAAAGGCCGACGCAGCGAATGTGTGTTTGATTCCGGTGCTGTCATGATAACGTTTTACAGGCAAGGTGCCTGTAAAGCTGCCACGGTAACGCTTTACAGGCAGGGTGCGTGTAAAGGATAATTTACCGAGTTAGTTCAGACGACAGTAAAAGAGCTTTAACAAGACAAGAGGAAGTAAATATTATTTAAGGTTATGAAAAATCAAATTGAGGGAGGGTGTTGACAGGTGCATGTTTGGTGCCACAATTTGAATTTGTGCATTTAGCAACTTTAGTAATTAGTAACTGCTGTAAGGGGTGCCGTGTCATCGGCAGCAATCAAATTACTTCCCTCTCTTGTACGGTCCGTTGTAGAAAGAAGACGTAACGGGTGAACTGATAAATTCTGTTTTATTAATATACTCTTTTTTATAATTCACTGCCTCTGATTATTATCAAGATTTAATAAAAATCGCGAAAAATACGATTTCTAGCTAAAATTTGATGGTTTCGTTGCTCTTTCCCAGTCTGTTGGGTGTGTGACTAGCTTAAAACTACAAGAAAACACTTCAAAAGTGACGTCTCTGAAGAATTTTAACAATTTTCTTGTATCTACGAACGCCAGAATGCATAAAACTAACCCAAACATCTCCTTTTCGTAATTTGACACGATTCTGCTTGCCCTAAGTGTGCTTCGTCGCTCAGAACCACCAAAGAATTTTGAAACTCAGTTCAGATTTAATAAAAATCGACAAAAATACGATTTCTAGATAAAATTTGATGGTTTCGTTGCTCTTTCCAAGCCGGTTGGGTGTCTGATTGGCTTCAAACTACAAGAAAACGCTTCAAAAGTGAAGTTTCTGAAGAATTTTAACAACTTTTAGTAGTTGCACACATGTTTCAGTAGCATTTCTTGTGCTCACCCCAGAAGTTCAGATCACCAACCAATGCATTCTTGTATCTACGAACGCCAGAATGCATAAAACTAACCCAAACGTTTCCTTTTCGTAATTTGAGACGATTCTGCATTCTCCAAGTGTTTCGTCGCTCAGAATCATCAAAAAATGTTGAAATATAGTTCAGATTTAATAAAAATCGCGAAAAATACGA